TAGTTCCAGTTTTTTATATTATTTATTATTATTTGGATCTGCACCACATTGAACCTGATCAAAACTCAATTTTTATGACTTCTTCCCTAACACACACCGCATCCCTCCAACAAGTTATGTGATAATTTATTCCAGTTGTTGCTGTAAAATCCTGCTAACTAACTTTCAACTACAGATGAAAAAATAACCTCCTTGGTTGAGGTAATAACCCTCAAAATGACCCAATGTTCAGGATTAAATCTTGCATCTCTTTGTCTTCCCGCTGGCAGGACCCGATCATAAGGCCAGCAGCAGACACCAGCTGCTGGCCTTCGTCACTCTGCTGGAGACCAACAAGCCATATTTGTCCAACTGCTCACGGGTTCCTGCACTTCAAGTCAGTACCAGATGAGGGATGTTCCTGCTCCCACCACAAATGTTTTGATTAAAAGTTTTTCTCTAATAATCCTGGATTAACCCTGTTAATTTACCTACATGATCCAAGTTTTTAAATACTATCTGTATAATGTCCCATCGTTATTGGTAGAAACTTCTTTTTGTATGGTCTATTCCATTCCCACCCACATGGTGCACTAGTATCAATATTGTTTGTCTCCATTTGCTCACCAGGCTTTGCTGCTGGTGGCAAACTCTGTGGACAGTAACGCTGACTGTACACGTCTGGTGGTGGACGGCTGGCTGGAGGTGGAGCTGAGGGAGCCAGAGGAGGCGCTGAAGGTGCTGTCGACAGCTCTTACTCTCAGGGCTGAGTGGGAGCGCCTCCTGCTGGCCCAGCTGGGACAGAATACAGTAGAGGGAGCAGCAGGCCAGGGGGTGTCCCGCAGAGTCATGGAGAAGCTGAGCGAAGGCCTGGTTCGCTTCCTGCTCTACACTGAGGTACTGAGGAAGCAACCTTCTGTGCACATAGAAACAGAACCATAGACAAGATTTACTATCATTTGTTACAGGTCAAATTTAACAAATAATTAAGAAAACAACTGAATATTTTTATTTGTGTCTGAATTGTTTATTTCTACCCTCCAGATATTCTAAGTCACTCAGATTGTCACCAATCATTTCTCAGTCTTATTTAATGTCCTCTTCACCTTCCCTCCAAGGTCTCTTACAGCCTTCGGCGACTCGCAGCTTTCCAGATCCAGAACCTGTACATTGGCCCTCAGCCTGAGTCTGAGTTGTCTCACAAAGCTCCAGATCTAAAACCGCTGTTTCCAGGAGCCGATGCCAAGCCGCACACGATTAAAGGAGGCCTGCGTGTCACCAGCTTCTTCACCTACAACTGTCTGGCTGTAAGTCTGTCACAGAAACTCTTTTGTCAGAGTTACAAAGACATGGAAAATAGATGTTTCAGCTGTTATCTAAATCATTTCATGCACAGATATGTTTGTTTTGTGGATCTTGGGGTGAACTGTACTAGCTTGTGTAAAGTTAGAACTTCTTACCTTAACATCTGAACGTAACTGCTGGATAATATTGAACGGGGTATCTGTTGGTCCTAAAAATCACTGAACTCACTTTCCTCAACAAAAGGCGGAGGAGGTATTGAAAAGTCTGCTTGCTGGTTCTAGCTGTGAATGGATTTCATGTCTCATAAATTGAAATCCTTTAAATAAGTCTTTAGATAATAAGTGTTTGAGTAAACATGGAATTAACTGACAACCATCTTTGATCCTCGTGTTTCCTCTGTGTTTGTGCAGGACTCTCGGGATCTCTACAGTGAGTGTTTACGGACATTCTGGAGTTGTCCTAACTGTGACCTCTACATGCCTCTGACTCCACTGGAACGCATGCAGCACGAGGCCTCCTGCAGGCCAGCAGAAGAACAGCAGCAGTCGGAGGAAGGTGAGGAATTTGTCATGTTTTTTTAAAATGTTTTTTGTATATGATTATTTCAGCACATGCACAAATTAACTGAGGGATTGTGATTTTCAGAACCAGAAGATAAAAAACCAGGTCCTTCCTCAGTGTCCAGTCTCAACCGAGTTTACCACTGCGACGTTTGTAATGAAGACTTGACCCTCACCTCCACTGAGATCCTCAAACACAAACGCCAGCACATGTACTCCACCAAGTAGCAGACGACTAAATGACGCCTTATATTAACCTCAACAACTAAACAAAACTTGTGTCTTCTCTGTTGAGGATGGACTGAATCTATGGGGTAACCATTTATCATTAATAACATGTTTGACATCCTTCTTTCCTTCCTTTTGTACTTGTGAAACTTGAAATTAAATGAAAGTGTTGTTACTTCCTTCCGAGGGTCACTGGGTATATTTTCTGTAGTGTTGTTAACAGCTCTGTTCCTATAGGAGATATCCACCTTTTCAAAAAGGGCCATCCCAAAATAATGTTCCAAAATATGAACAGATTATGGTGTTGTTCCAAATGTTGATTAAAAAACGAGTGGATTTAAGCACATAATGTTTTTTCCAGACTCCTCTTTTTGGAAGAATCCACTTTCATGCAGTCTTTGGGAAAAGGCAGAGTGACTGAGAGAGAAGAAGACGCTGATTTTAAAATATAGAGTGAGGGTTTAATAATGATACAAACCCACGATATGTAACACCTCAAAGCAGCACATTGGCACAAAGTCAGAAGTAAGACAGCACTGAAGATAAAAACCTGTCTCAAAAAAATAAAGAATTAGAATAAATATCTCAATAAATAAATAAACAGGTAATATCTCATTAATTACTTTGAAACTAATAAATACGTACATTTGAAAATATGCACATTGGCAGAAATCAATAACCCCAAAAAAAAGAAATAGTACTTAATACAGAGTTACTTAGAAATCATAAGTTCTTGATTACTCAAATCAAAAGGCACATTTATTAAGATGTAAGAATGGGGCCTGCAGTTGTGATCACATGACTGTCAGTACTCTAACACCATTTCTGGACCAGAAGTAACAAACTGTGTGCAATGGCTTTACTAGTTCTGTATGTCTGCACCATTTAGTGAACGTGTGTGAATGTGTGTGCACATCTATGCATTGCAGATTTGTGGGGATTTGTCGGGGGGGGCTGAGTTTGTGTTCCCTGCCTTTTGTCTGATTTAAACATGGAACAACATTGTTAGCAGGCTGGCCTGGCAGGGACGACGACCGTCCGATAACTGAGAGGTCGAGGTCGTGTGTCCTAACTCCAAACCCCACCATCTGCTCGCTTCACTCACTTTAAGTCACTTTGGATAAAAGTTCTTGGCAAAACCTAAAATGTAAATAATCAGGTGAAGCTTCTGAAAGGTTCATTCTGCCATAATTTAAGGTTTATTAGCTGATTCCTTCCTTTTGTAGTGTAACTCATCAACACTGGTTCAGATATTGTCATCGTATGATGCTTGAAGCATTTACATCTTGATTCTTTATCTACGATAGCAACATCTTTAGTGATTTGACGCCTTGTTCATATGAATCCTAGTTGCATTTAGTCAAGAGGCAAACTTCTGTAGATAAACTGGTGTCTCAAACCTCTTGTGTAATAAATCTCACTTTGCTTGATTGTTAAACACTGGTGAAAAGCGGAGGCAGCACACAAGGCCCTTGCTCTTTGATTCTGAGGAGTTTACACAATACACCTGATATTTTAGAGGAGAATTATTAGGATTCCTTTGACAAGCTAATCTACCCTCATCTTCCCGTGGCCAGAAGTAGAAAAATATTCCATTGATCTGCAAAATAAACACAGAAATGTAACGAATATCATCTGAAGCATTTTTTTAAATGCCTGGGGGTGAATTTAGTCCAACGGTAAACTTACAAATATCATAATCTTTTGTACCCTCAGAACTTTGGGTGGAATAAGAATTTGAAGGATTGTTTCCAACTCTGGGACAGTTTGAAAAAGGGTTTGGGCAGGACTTAAAATAGCAGCTTTTATTTTTAACTTCATACTTAAAGCAACATTCAGCAAACACTGTTCCCGAACAAAGAAACCTCCACCATTTTTCTTTTTCAAGTTGTTTCCTGATTACAGGGTCAACAGTCTGCAGCACTCATGTTTAACACATGTGAGCTACGTGCTGCTGCTCAAAGACAAGTGTGTTCCTGTTTCTCTATCAAACACGTTGAGACAACCACAGTATTCAGTTCCAACTCTTTTCAATTTCTACGCAAGTAGTTTTTCCTAACGTGAGCGACTGGTTCTAAAATACTCTCTCAATACATTGTTCATTGCACTTGTTTTTTTTTGGGTGGCTTCTCATTCAAAAAAATGGGGTGGGGTGTATATTAGGGAGAATAAACTTGTTCAGAGGCCTCAGTTGTAAGCACCTTGACTGATTCAACACGTAAGGTGGACGAATGTGATGTTTTCTATGATTAATATTGAAATAACATGTAGAAATGAAATATGTCCAGAGTGAGGGAGTTTAAAGTTCGACACACGTTTGTGATTTCTTTTCAGAAAACAAAACTATTCTTGTGTTTGGTTACATAATGTCACATTATGACTTTTAAGTCTTTGTGGTTGTCATTGCAACTTCCCCTAACTATAATTGACCCTTTGCGTTCGACAACTTTTTCCTCCAGTGGTCAACTGCTCCAATGCTGATAGGTTTTTGAAGAATGCACTCACTCTTTCTCCCTCTTTCCAAAACTTTCTGCTTGACCAGGGTTTGAGAAACATCTGAGGTAAAATTAGAGGTAAAGGGTGATATCTCATCATCAACAGGCCAACATGAAACAAATAACTCCCCCAAGATCTTGTGTTTGTGAATACGTGATAGTGTGTGCCACAGGGGGTTCTGTCAATATGTTTTACATTTAATAAAATATACCAATTAAAATTATTACAATCATATATATAAACATCTTTTGTTTTTTGTGGTTTTCTTTCTAAATAAAAAAAAACGGACATTTGAAACAGTGTACACATCATCTTTGCCTCTGCCCCTCTTGAAGTCCTTGACTGCTAACTGTAGATCAGCCAACCCTCGGTAAATCCACCATGAAGGCTCCAGATGACTCCCACAGAGCCTGGTCTGAGTGCAGCGCACCTTCAGCAGGCATGGACCAGTGAGGAAGGCCCCAGGTTGAAGAGAGAAAGAGCAGAATGCAGTGGAAGGCCGTGGGGCTTTGGAGGGCCGCATTGAAGGTCTGGGTCAACTGAGAGCACTGTTCCACCTGCTGAGCTCCACCTCCTCTGTCCCTACAGATGCTCTCTTCTCTCAACACCCAAACCCCCTTTGGTCCAGGGAACCCCTCCCACCCCAGAGCCTGGCCTCATCGGACCGCCTTGTGCTTTCCCCCGCAGCAGCCACACCTCTCTCCACACCGCAGGCAGGCGCGCAAAGGCAGGTAGCAGCACATGCAGGGCACGAAGAGCGACAGGGCCAGGAGGGCCAACCAGCGGGCACAGCAAAGGGGGTGTGGGTGGCCCCCCATCGAGTCATCACACGAGCAAGGCTCCCAGAATTCTCCCTCAGAGTCCGACATGCAGTGGTAGAGCAGACTCTCTGCGCACCACACACAGGTCCACTGGCGTAGGCAGTGCAGGGCCGGGTCTGGGGCATCTCTGCAGCGGCCCCGCCCGTTTTCTGAAGCACTGAAAACAGAGCGGCAGTACACACAGCGAGATGAGCATGACGATGACCCCTGAGGACAGGGGCTGTCGTCATCGGGGGATATAGCCCCAGGGTCGCCGCTGCTTGCCCCTCCTCCTCTCTTACGAGTCCGCGACCGGGGTGTGGCCAGTGAGGTGTGGATGCAGCATGGAGAGGGCGAGCCTTTGGCCGTCTCCTGGGGTGAGCCGGCACCTGAGGACACGCCTGACACAGCATTGGGCATGGACATACAGGTTGGTGAGGACGAGGACAGACGCTGTGACGCTTTACTGTCCAAGCTCACTGTCACCTCACAGCCTGCCGTCCCCACTCCTGCCAGCTCCTTCTCAAAGCGAACCACGCAAAGCTCTGACTTGTCCTGCAGACTCCCTCCACCACCAACAACCACACCCCCAGTCAGCCCCCCTACCATAGTCCTGGTGGACCCTGCCCGTCGGTAGTCCTCATAACCTCTAGAACCCCACAGGTCTTTGCATGGGTCCACACTGCGAAGGTCCCCCTCTTCCAGCAGAGAAATGGTGGGTGAGAGTGGGGACAGAGGGGATGAGGCTGGGGGACCCACAGGAGGAGTCGGTGGGGCAGGAGGCGGGGGTGGGGGTGCTGGGGGATTCAACACAGCCGTCATTTGTGAGAGCTGGTGCTGTCCCGGCCTTGTGTGGATCTGTGGACAGGGTATAGAATTACAGAATGAGTCAGGAACAGTGTGATTACAGCTTTTCACCTCTAGGGTTAGAAAGTGGATAAAAATGACTCCTGTGGGACGTCAGCAAGTCACATGAGAGGAGTTAAAGATGGGACAGAGAAAAATACCAAGTCATGACACGAATCAGAATGATGAACCTGAATATCAACAGAATATATCTGCTTTAAAATTTAGATCATTTTGTTAAGGCCCAGATCCCAGAACCCTCTGTAAGAAGTCTCCTTTTATAGTACTCATCGTTGGAGGGACAAGGGTTTGGGCAGAGAAACTTTGAGCATCATATTATCACACTGACCAATGAGTTACCTGAGCAGGTGTCTGCGTGGTGACAGCATGGCTGGATCCAAAGCTAAACTCCTCCGATAGCACGAAGCAGGTAGACGACGACTCGCTCGTCACTATGGTGATGGGTTTGGGAAGCATCTCCTTTCTGCTGTTGGATGATGACTCACTTCCTGTATGGGACTGGCAGAGGCCGCATGTCATCCAGGAAGTCAAAAACACCAATAACAGCACTGGGGCCCATATGGAAGAGTAAATTAACCCTATTTGTTTCAGTCAGGAACTGCTCAGATACTCACAGCTTGGCCGTCATCCTCTGTGTCGGCTTCTTCTGGTGTTGATGATGAGGGTGAGTCCGAGCCTTGACGATGATACAAAAGAAGAGATGATTTCGGTTTTTCAGGATGTTTTCTAAAGCTGATTCAAAGACAAATGGTTTCTAAATGAGGCTCAAGCATCTGTACCTCTGTCGAGCTTGTCTATGACAGCCTGCAGCCCCTTCTCAAAGGAGATGGCGTCGGCAGGACTCTGGAACGTGAGGCCAAACTTTCGATCCTCCACTCGCCAGTGATGGAAGATGGGGTTCACCTTGTTGTACACTAAACCCCTCTGCACGGCACACTCCAACACGGGCTAAACACACAAACAGCAACCCCAGGAACACGTGCAGTTAGTTTACCCCTCCAAGATGTACACAATCCCCCAACACCACATGCATCTCCAGTCTTCAGGAGGTGTTGAGGAGCAACACGTGGCACCAAAGACAGCCATAACACACACGCACACACTCACTGCTCGGTCTCGCAGCCGTTCTCCACGTATGATGTATTCTCTCCGCCCCCTGCCGTCATGTGTCCGCCCCTTACATATGACCACATGACTGAGGCCTCCACCTCCAAGGGGCACCCAACCGCCACTGGAGTCATCACGTGTCATCACCACTGCACGAACACGCACACTGTCAGGGAAGCCAGGAGAGTGAGCAGATTAAACACACCCATACATGTAGGTGCACACGCTAGATATACATGCAGGTTTTAAAAACAACAATCCAACATCCACAGCCAATACAGTGAAGAAAAAGCAGAGTAAAATTCAGAGTGACGACAGTTTTCATCTTTGTTGAACTAAGATAACATGATGAAGACGTGTTGAAGCGACAGATTGGCCTGTTGCAACATGACAAATCAAATGCATCATACAGCAACAGTAACGGCTTATTATAAAAACAGTACATGCAGATTACTGAGAGAAATCTGATTTGAATTGGCATGAGAAAAATAAGAAATATGTATTCTAACATGTCTGCTGCCGTATGAGAATTAAAGCTGGGATGATGAGAATAAAGAGAGAAAGAAATCCAATGTTGTTGTAGGGGAAGAGAAATGGTCAAATGGGAGGATGGAGGGAGGGAGGGAGGGAGGGAGGAAGAATGAGTGTTTCCCAGATAGATGTATCAATGAACGCACCCATTCGCCATCAGAGGGCCCGGCATCGGCTCGACATGTGCATGAAATGTGCGCACATACAGCTGCGTCTTTTTTTGTTGTTGTTATCAAATCAAGGCCTTTACATTTTTAAATTGTTGCCTTATCATTGTTATTCCTCCTCCATGCAGACTCTCATTCTCTCCATTCCGCCCCTGCTGCACACGCTCATTAAACACACCCCGATATCATGTTATGTGTTTTTTTATGAATGGGACAGGAGGAGGACAAGGATCGACGCCGCCGCCGCTGCTTCATATCCTCACCACACATTTTATTATAAGGCCTTTAATAAAATGTGGAGAGAGACAGAGACAGAGAGAGAGAGAGAAAGGGAAGAATGAACGAGTGGGTGAGAGGATGGAGAGGAAACGAGGGATGGGGGGAGGGGGGCCGATTGGAAAAGGGAAGGAGGAGAGGAGGGGTGAGGATGTGGGAGAGCGACGGAGGGAGAGAGAGAGAGAAAAATCACATTTCATTCATAAAGTTTGGCTTTAAAAAAATCATAATGAAACCCCGAGACACGTTGATGAAAATCTCAACGCCTCCATCCCTCCCTCGTCTCTCTGCAGCCATGTCTTGAATGACGCGACGCTGCCTCCAAATAAAAAAATAAAAGAAGGAAACTCGCCATGTTTCTTTTTCCTCCTCAAACATTTTTTACGCACCGACTCTTTTCATCTTTTGATACAAATTGTTACATTTCCAGATCGTCGCAGAGGCTCCAGAACGCGTCCTGTCGTTTCTTATATCCTCTTGTGCGCGTGCAGACAGCGTCTCCTCCACATGCAGGAGCAACATTTATCCCACTTTGGCACGGAATGGATTCACATCTGAGTCACACATGACGGGAGGGTGGTGTTGATTCAAGGCGACGTGATGGTGTTTTTATTCCTGCTCCACTGCTGTGAGAATAAAGTGCATGATGCTGGTTTGGTGTCACACTGATGGCGCTGGTGTTCTGTCTTATCCATTTCCTGGCGGATGGTGTGAGTGTGTCTAAACACACATATGTATATACATAT